GGAGCCCGGGGAGGAGCCAGGCAAGGGCCGTGGTGCTGCAGCCCGCATGTGTTGGGCTCTATAGGTGGAACAGCCATGGGGCAGGGACCCAGGCCGCCCAAGCCCCCCACCCTGGGCCCTCCCGCGCCTTGCAAGCCCGCCCGGCGGCCCGCGGCCCGCGGGCAGGTCCCGTCAGTGATCCAGCCTCTTCTGGGGCTTGACAGAGCAGAACTTATTCTTTCGCTTGCAGCTCTGGCTTCCGGCACCAACGATGCACTCTCCAGTCACCGATGAGCCGCACTTTCGCTGCTGGCTACTCCTCTTCCCACTCGCACCACATTGGCAATGTCAAGCTGACGGGGTGTGTGTGGGAACCTTGTCCCTTCCCCAGCCCTTCAGCAGCCATTAGAAAGCTACTGAGGAGCTGGGGGAGGGACAAGGGGTGGGAACAAAAGTAAACAGTGTTTACTTTCATTTCCTGTCGCAGCACCTCAGGCCTCAGAAAACAGCTTGGCGGGCTCCATGGTGGCCCGCGGGCTGTATGTTGGACAAGCCAGACTTAAGCCTTAAAGTTACAGTGTTTGATTAGAATATAAGTACCACACTGGGTCAGATCAATGGTCCATGCACAAGTACAGACTGTAATGACTGGCTAGGCTGCAGAGAATCAGACTGATCAGGTCCTGTGGGCCACATGCAGCACACAACCCAGGCTGGTCCCACATGTGACATGCAGCGCACAGGGCTAGGGCCAGCGTGCACTGCATGCAGTGTGTGGGCCAGCCCAGGGCACACAGCATGCAGGAGGCAGGTCCAGTCCAAGCCCCATGGGCAGCATCAAAGGCTGGATGATAGGGCACTACAGGCTGAATCCAACCCATGAGGAATCTTTGACAACCCCATAGCAGACCGCAAGCTGAATATGAGCCAACAGTGTGCTCTAGTTGCAAAAAAAAGCCAGGAGCATACTGGGCTGTATCAACAGTAGGATCACTTGCAAATCAAGGGAACTGATTCTTTTGCTCTATTCAGTACTAATGAGGCCTCACCTAGAATACTGCATCCAGTTTTGGGCCTCCAAAAAGGATGTAGATAGATGGAAAAAAGTCCAGTGCAGGGCAACAAAACTGCTTAGGGGCTTGGGAGGCAAGACTTATGCAGGGATCCTGGTCTTCTCTGATTAAAAAAATCCTAAATTCTCTGGTTAAAACCCACCCAAATCTGCTTTCTCTACAATTAAAATGAAACACCACTGTATCTATATAGGTATCAGTCAACACAATGAGTTACGGATATATTTATTTACAATTGTAAAGCCATTTGGAAGTCTACCAGTGCCTCCATCATTATAATAAAATAAATTTTCAATACCTATATATTTTGGTGTTTGAATTTGGTTTCTTTACCATGGAAAATCAGAGCTCCCCCTGCCCCCTTCACTCACCAGGGTGCTCTCCACTACTCTGGCCTAGCTACCACATGCAAGTGTGCAGGCACACATGCATGTGGTGTCCCTTGTGCCCTGCTCCTTCTAGCGCCCTTGCAAACTGGAACTCTGCCAGCCTGCAAGGGGAAACCCATGTTTTTCTCCCTTAAAGGAGAAAATATACATTTTTCTTTTTTAAAGTAGATAATCCACATTTTTCTGAGACAAATGGAAAACATGGATCCCTACTTATGAGGAAAGGCTGAAAGAACTAGGGCTGTTTAGCCTGGAGAAGGTGATATTGAGTTGGGATTTGATAACAACCTTCAAATACCCAAAGGGTGAAAGAGGACAGAGATGGGCTTTTCTCTGTGGCCACAGGCTACCTAAAGAAATTCTGGAATCTCCATCCTTGGAAATTTTCAAGAGCAGGTTAAGCAGATGCCTGGCTGGAGTGGTTTAGAAAACGGCCATTTATAAATGTGCTCCAGGAGGCGGCAGGGGTGTGCGTGCGGCAGTTTAATTTAATTAGCGCTTGGGGCATCATGTGCATTTCTGTCCCCACACTGAACAATGGCGGTGGGGGTTCTGAACTAAACCTTATCAAACGAGCTTTAGTTTAGTGCCCCACTGCCATTTTTCAGCATGGGGACCCTGATACACATGACACTTAACTCGGCAATTAAATCGAGTGAGCAGTTAATCGAGTCGGAGCAGCCTTCCTCCAGGTGTATAGGAGCTCATGGAAAATTAGGGGTGAAAAGGAGCTCAGGAGGTAATTTAGTCCAGTGGTTCTCAACCTTCTTTGTACCAGGACTCATTTGCAAACACTGATGGCCAGTCCTGACCCAGTACATAGTTTAAGTAGAAACCACACAAGTATTTTGGCCCCAAAACACTTATTACACACTACAAACTAAAGCAGCTCAACAGTCTTAATTTGAAAAGACAGACATAAACAGGAGAACATTAAAAGCAATGTCAACATGTAGACCTCCATTACTCCCAAGTGACATTCATCACTGTGCAATTTGCACAATGCCCTCCTGCACCAGGTCCTGCCTGTTGGGCCGTGGAGGTGGCTTCTGCCTGTGCCGGTCTGGCTAGGCTGCAGCCCCAATTCCGGTGTGAGTGCACAAGTCTTGGAGCCATGAGCACCCCTGACACATCATCTATAGCCCCCCTCCACTCCATAGATTTACCTGCGGGGAGCTCCAGGAACTGCTCTCTCTATGCTGCCTAGCTGTCATGTGCATGATGGAGCACATGCATGTACATGGCGAACCCTGGCTGATCGCCCTCTTCCCGCTTCTCCCAGCCCCAAGCAGCCCCTCACAGACTGGAACTCCTTTAACAGAGAAAACCTGTTATCTTCCACATTTCTCCATGATTGTTCATGATTCTTTCATATATTCTTGTGACCCACTTTTGGGATGTGACCCATGGATTGAGAAATGCTGGTCCACATGAATGTCGCATGCCTTCCGAGGCTGTGGGGGGCGGGGTTGGCGGCGAGTGGGGAGCTCCTGCAGGTGGCCACAGTGCTGTTGGCGGTGAATAGGGAAGGGGATGGCAAGCACTGATCGGTGATCGGCGACCACCAACAGACGCCACCAGTGGTGTTAGTGGCAAGGGGGCCAGGAGGTGGCAAATGGCAATCACTCGCAGGCGCTGCCAGCAGTGTCAGCAGCGGTCAATCTTAGGGGATGCACCGTCAACCTCAGGGGTGCATCTGCATGCACCCCCTATGCATCGCCAATGCTAATCTAGTCCAAACCCCAGCTCGAAGCAGGACCATCCCCAACTGTATCATCCCAGCTAAGGCTTTGTCTAGCCGGTCTTCAAAACCTCCAAGGATGGAGATTCCACAACGCCTCTGGGTAACCTGCTGTTCCAATGCTTCACCACACTCGTAAAGAGAAAATTTTTCCTAATTTCTAACTTAAACTTCCTTTGCTGCAACTTGAGACCATTGCTCCTTGTTCTGTCACCACTGAGAACAGTCAAGCTCTTTGGAACCCCACTTCAGGTAGTTGAAGGCTGCTATTAAATCCCCCCTCAGTCTTCTCTTCTCCAGAATAAATAAGCCCAGCTCCCCCAGGCTCTCCTCAGAAGTCATGTGTCCCAACCACCTGACCATTTTTGTTGCCCTCTGTTGGACTCTCTCCAATTTGTACACATCCTTTCTCTACTGGGGGGCCCAAAACTGGACACAGTACTCCAGATGTGGCCTCACCAATCCTGAATAGAGGAGAATAATCACTTCCCTCGATCTGTTGGCAACACTCCTAATAATGCAGCCCAGTATACCGTTAGCCTTCTTTACAACATTGGTACACTGCTGGCTCATATTCAGCTTATTGTCCACTGTAACACCCAGGTCCTTTTCTGCAGAACTGCTGCTTAACTAGTTGGTCCCCAGTCTGTAGTGGTGCATGGGATTGTTATGTCCTAAGTGCAGGACTTTGCACTTGTCCTTATTGAACCTCATGAGATTTCTTTTGGTCCAGTTCTCCAATTTGTTGAGGTTTCTTGTAATCCTAGCCCTACCCTCCATTGTATCTACTATTCTCCCTCCCCCCTCCCCCCCCTTCCGCTTGGTGTCATCTGCTAATTTGCTGCTGATGGTGCACTCCATCCCATCTTCCAAGTCACTGATGAAAATAGTGAACAAAACTGGTCCTAGGACTGATCCCTGGGGCACTTCACTTGATATTGGCTGTCAACTAGACATCGAACCATTGATTACTATGCTCTGAGCCTGATGATCCAGCCAATTTTCTTACAGACCTTTCATTCAATCTGTACTTCCTTAGCTTGCTTGCAAGAATCAGTCACAGGTGATCTTGCTTTAAGCAAGGGGCTGGACTAGATGACCTCACATAAGGCCCCTTCCAGCCCTTCCAGTCCTAAGCTGTAGTTAGTATCTCATCTCCTACACTGGCAAGTACTAGAGGCTTTATAGGGCAAGTGTCTGTACAAGGAATACCTAATATAATCCATCCCGTTTTACCCTCCCTGGCATTAGCCATCAATGTTTTAAGAATTATCAAGAGGATACTATTTAATACTTATCAAGGGACATGTCCTCCATGAATTTGTTTAATCCCTTTCTGAATCTGGTTATACTGTCTGCCTCTCCAACCTCCTATGGCAATGAATTTCATTAATTACGCAAGAAGTAACACAGTCTGTAGATGTTTTAAGACTTTTCAGTAGGCACACCCTAATTTCTGCATTTCGGAACTTGGTGAATAAGAGTTCCCTATTCACTCTGTCCACACCTTTCATGATTTTATACACTTCTATCATATCCCCCTTAAGCTTTCTTTCCAAACTAAAGAGTCCTAGGCCTTTTTAGTCTGTCCTGGTACGGCAGCTGCTCCATACCTCTTATCTTTGTTGCCTTTCTCTGTACCTTTCCTAATTCCACTTTAACTTTGTTTGAGGTGTGGAGACCAGAACTGTTAGACCTTTTATGCACAATCCTTCTAACAGTCTAGATATTCTTTTGATAAATATCAGGGAATAAAAACTGAAAACTTTTACAGTTTTCCCCTTTAAACCCAAACACACAAATCAAAATCCACTTTACCTTAAAGATTCAGATAATGGTGTTAAAGTGCCATCTCCCCTGTCTACAACACGGAAAAAATTCAATTGATCTCCTTCCCGGTACACCAAGAAGGTAACTGGTTTGTTGGATGGCCCCTTCTCCCAGACCTCATCTCGACTGGGATCCATGTATTCAGCCATTTCCCTAATTGGGTCTTCCACAGGAACTACAAAGAGAAAAACAGAAGGAAAAGCAGACTGTTTCAACTTGAGAGTCCTAGTCACAAAAAAACCACAGATGCATTGTATTTCAACCTTCACATAATGTTTGAAAACCTCTACAGCAATGGTCAGAAAGGGGGAATTGATGGGCTTGTCTGGAAAGAAAGAGAATAATTTGCACACCTTGAAGTGTTTAACTTAAATTAATTTATTTCAATCAGAATTCAAGCACCTGCATCAATCTACACATGACCTGGAGTGACCAGAAGCTCAAATGTTTGTGCATTCAAGTCTAAAGCACTCTGACACCTGGCCTGAGTTTGCAATCCCCTCCCTCCCATTTTCATCTTTGTATTCATAGTTTCATAGTTTCTAGGGTCGGAAGGGACCTGGGCAGATCATCTAGTCCGACCCCCTGCCATGGCAGGAAAGAGTACTGGGGGCAAACGACCCCAGCAAGATGGTCATCTAACCTCCTCTTAAAAACCCCCAGGGTGGGAGCCTGCACCACCTCACTTGGAAGCTGGTTCCAGACCCTAGCCGCCCTGACCGTGAAGTAGCGCCTCCTGATGTCCAACTTGAACCTTCCCTCCGCCAGCTTGTGACCGTTATTCCTGGTCACTCCTGGCGGCGCTCGGGGGAACAGGGACTCCCGCAGTGCCTGTTGATCCCCCCTGACTAGTTTATAGCAGGCCACAAGATTCCCCCCTCAGCCTTCTCTTCTGGAGGCTGAACAGGTTCAGGTCCCGTAACCTTTCCTCATAGGACCTGCCCTGCTGTCCCTTGATCATGCGAGTGGCCCTCCTCTGGACCCTCTCGATGCTGTCCACATCCCTCTTAAAGTGCAGCTCCCAGAACTGGACGCAGTACTCCAGCTGCGGCCTGACCAGTGCCGCATAGAGGGGGAGGATCACCTCCTTGGTCCTGCTTGAAATGCATCTGTGGATGCACGACAAGGTACAGTTGGCCTTCCTAGCCGCCTCCCCACACTGCCGAGCCATGTTCATCTTGGAGTCAATAATGACTCCAAGATCCTTTTCCACCTCCGTGCTGACAAGAGGGGAGTTCCCCAGCCTGTAGGTATGGTGCCGGTTGTTCCTCCCCAGGTGCATCACCTTGCACTTGTCTGTGTTGAACCCCATCCTGTTCTCCTCCGCCCATCCTTGTAACCTGTCAAGGTCCGACTGTAGCCTGTTGCTCCCTTCTATTGTGCCCACATCCCCCCACATCTTGGTGTCATCAGCAAATTTGAACAGGGTGCTTTGCACCCCCTCGTCCAAATCACTGATGAAGATGTTGAACAGGGTGGGCCCGAGGACCGAGCCCTGCGGGACCCCACTGCCCACGTCCTTCCAGGCTGAGAAGGACCCATCCACCACCAGTATTCTGTGATGACTTTATGATTCCCGCCAGTTAGTACTAAGAAGCCAAAAGGAACCTCCATAGCCTGACAACCTTAACTTCTGAAAGTGATGCCTCTCTGAGCCTGAGTTTTATCACCCAGTTTTCCCAATAACCTCCATTCAACCTGGCAAGGACATTAAGACCCAGGTCATAGCTACCTACTGATAACTCCTCACTCATCAAGAATCACAGGAAGCTTACTAGCATCTGCTACAATGTGCAGGACAACTACAACATGAAAACACTGGATATGGCTGAATCATTTTGAGAAGGCAAATTTTAAATCTTCACTACCACAGACAGTTGAGTTGAATGGGACTAATACAAACCAGAGCCTGAAATGAATGTACATGAATAAGAGAAACTAACCCACCGCATGTCTCTCCTCCCCCTTCTGTTACTTAACATCTCCAATGCAGCAGAAACTATGTTGCCAACAGCTGCTCCTACCAGCACTTCCACAGGAGCAAAAAGAATGAAATAAATAGACACACCAAGAAATTCCGCTCATTTCTTGAATATCTGTCTGGGACAAGGTATCAGATCCTGCCTCTCCCTATCCTCCTCCAACTACAGAAGGAAGAGATCCCAAATACAGATATGACTTGGGTCACAGAGCAAATCTCAGCACTGCAGCAGATACACAACAGATGAGCAAGACACAAAAAAAACTAAAGAAGATGCTACTTGGCTAAGAATGGGATAACAAGATGGCAATTGATTAAACCAAGGTTGGAGAATTTCATTTGAGTTATTTTATTTATGAATCTAGTTAACTAGCACCAGAAATTAGAAAAAAAAAAATTTAAGGTTTCTTATCAAACATCTCTCTACAATACCTAACTTAAAATTGAAAGAGTGATAGGAAGAAACCCCAAATCAAGTGATTTTAGACCACTCATCGTTTTCAATAATAGCTTAAATCACTGGAGTGTAGTTAAATCACTGCTTCCTCAAGAAAAAAAAAATTACCCAACAGGGGCTTGAAAGGCAAGACTTATGAGGAAAGGCTGAAAGAGGGTTATTTAGCCTGGAGAAGCAAAGACTGAGGGGAGATTTGATAAAAGTCTTCAAATAACTGAAGGATGATTACAGAGAGGATGTACACAGTCTTTTCTCTGTGGCTACTGGGAACAGGACTGGAAGCAATGGCCTCAAGCTGCAGCAGGGGTCATTTAGGCTGGAGATAAGGGGGAACTTTCTGACTACTGAGAGTGATCAGGTTTTGAACAGGCTACCTAGGAAAGCTGAGGACTCTCCATGCATGGAAACTTTCAAAAGCAGGTTAGACAGACACTTGACTGGGATGGTTTAGTCAGGGATGAACCTACCTTGAGCTAGATGACCTTGTGAGGTTGCTTTCCCAGCCTTACTTTCCTATGATCCTATGAATACTGATCACTGTATTAAGTAAACTGAGCCTGATTTTAATTAGCAAAGGGTTTTTTTTGAGAATCCAGTGAGAACCCTTTCTACAGGTAATAATAGCTAAGGGCACTTTTACATGTACTCTGGGGGGCAGTGGGGGGGGGAACGGCGCTTTAATTACAGCGGCTCCAAGAGCTGCTCTAATTAAAGTGCTGCTGCATTTTGTGTTTCAGTGTCCCCATGCTTAAAAATGGCAGTGAAGGCGCTTGAACTAAAGCTCATTCGATGAGCCCCCACCACCATTTTTAAGCATGGGGAAACCGATACACGAGATGCAGGAGGCTGCTGGGGTGTGGTAATCGCCACGCTCCAGCACACTCAATTAATTGTCTGCTGACCCCAATTAATTGAGTCTGCTTGACACACTGGAATTCCAGCATGTTGGAGCAGCCTCACTGCTTGTGCATAGGCATTCTAAGCGACTGAAGCTTAGAACAAACTCTTCCAGAGTTTAAGTAGAACAGTGGAATCCACTCTACCATCAACTTCTGCCAGACTAATCGGAGCAGTAAATTATTTTTAAAACAAAAACTGACAACTTTCCTATAGCTCAACACAAAATTACAACTTAGTAAGACAACTTAGAACACTTTTGTGAAATAAGGCACTTCTTATGTATGAAAGGTTCCACTTCCTGTGATACTGCAATTGAAATTTCAACATATGAAACTTCTGGGCATAAGCATCAGGGAGACTGGTTTTAATTACCTTTGAAAGTTGAACTCACTTACGTCTATAGATATGAATCCCCTATAGGATGTACAGAGCTCTCACCTAGAGTATGCTTTGCAAGTAAAAACAGTAAAGGGATTTATTGTCAGTTTTCATGCCTCAGAGTTTCACCACATAACTGAGTTACCTGTCCAGGTCAAATCTGCCATTGCATCCAGGTTAAGAAACACAGCAGGTGTCAGCAATGACAGAGGTAACTATTGCTCAAAACCAAAAGGTGTCACTTGCAGGGCTGCTGGGACGTTTGGTGTACCTGTAGCAAAACCCCCAGTTTTTCTTTTTTTTAATATTTATTTAAAATGCATTCCCGCCCCCTTTCTCCAACCATTTCCGACTTTTTTTCTCCCTCTCTATTCCCTATAGATAAGTATAAGTGAGCTAGACTTAGGGTAAGCTTTAAACATTTTTATTTTGGTAGCAAGTTTTTGGTTTTGGATATCCACCGTTTTATATTGTATTATTATTAGGTTTGTATTGATTTTTACTGTTGTAGATTGTATTATTATCATTTCATGTTGATTTTTATTGTTTCATATGGATATTGTATGGTTTAAGCCTGTGTTTGTAAGTGAACCAAAGTCATGTCAAGTTTCCATTTTATATGTGGGTGTGGGTGGGTGGGTGCAAGGGAACCAATTTGGCACTGTGTCACCATCTCCCCTGTTCAATAAAACCACTGTCATTTGCAACCCCGAGTTGGGTCATGTTTTACTGAATCCCAGTCCCTTCCTTATCTTAAATTCCAGCCTCATTCTCTCTCTCTCTCAGCTGCAGTTCCCATCCTCTCTGCTAGTTTCCTGATCTCCTCCCAAATCCATCTCCCCTTTTCTGCCACCTCTCAGCCTCTCCTTGCTTTCCTGCTGTCTCTGCTGCCTGCTGCATTTCCTGTGATTTTCTGCTGTCTGTCTCTCTGTTTTCAGGC